AGCGAACCAAGAAATGTTTTAACTTAACCCAGAATATACCGAACCAGACCAAACAAAAATCACTGTGAAATGAAACTTATTTATTTTTTTTAAGTCAATAAGGACAAGACCTAGATCTGTTATTTGTCCCAAGTTTTCAACCATAAAAGATTACTGTTTTCCAGAACGTAACCATTAAAATTTGGCAAAGCAAACTCCATCCCCCTATCTTCAGTCATGATGTTGTTATAAACCAAAACTGTTCATAAACATCAGCTACTTTCGTCCCAAATGTCGCCAGGATAGTAGTTTGGAAGTCCCAGGTCAACAGAACTCCAGAACGCACTGTCCATCATCTCTTACTCATCGCTTGCGGATTCCAGACACAGATTGCGCCATCTTCTTCCAAGACCAGGTGCAGGGTGCGGTTGGGACGGGTTGAGGGTGGAGGGGACGATGAGAGAGTGGGAGGGGAGGGGGATTCGTCTGCTCACTGTCGTTAATTTGGCGCGTGTGGCGTCGTCTGCGCCCTGGCAATCCGGCCGGCCGTTTCCCGCCTCATACATTTTCAACGTTTTGGCCACTAAGCCCGGTGTAATGATTGCTTAAGTCAGTCCGTAATTAGGAGCTGGGACGGTCGCCCAACGACAGAGATAGGAGCATTAAATGTGTGAACCCTCTGTCCTCTGGGTGGGCGGGGGTGTGGGTGGAGGGGGTAACGATTGAACGAGGACGTGAAAGACAGATCGTCTTGAGAGAGAAGTAAGGGAGAGAGAGAGAGAGAGAGAGAGAGAGAGAGAGAGAGAGAGAGAGAGAGAGAGAGAGAGAGAGAGATATGGGTTTGAGAGAGATGACAAGGAAGAGCATGAGGGAGGGCATGTATAGAAAGAGAGTGATTGAATGAGCGAGAGAGAGAGATAAAAAGATAAGAGTGAGAGATAGAACGGAAGACAGACTGAGTGAAATGCAGGGAGACGAAGAACAAAAGAAAAGAGACAGAGACGACACACAAAAACAGATAGAAAAAACGCATAGAAAACGTTAGATAGATAGATTCACATCAGTACATCAGCACATATAACAACGTCGACTGCATCAATAACAATAACAACAACAACACCACTCCCCCAACAAAAACAACAACAACAACAACAACAAAAACAACAACAACAACAACAACAACAACAACAACAACAGTAACAACAATGATAGTAACAACAACGAATCCACCACCACCAACAACAACAACAACTTCAACTACAACTACATCACCACCAGTAACAAACAGTAACAACGACAACTATGTAGGGACAACGAACCACCCGCGTCTCCATCCGCCCAGCTCTTATCCTGAGAATTGCGAAGACGAGCCCTAAGCCTTGGGCCGACAGACACTATCGCCCAAGAAGACTCAATATTCATACGCCCTATCAGGCAGAGATCCCCCCTAGAAAATCCCCGACTTCCCGGAGAAAGACAATAAATTCATATGGGTCATTACAACGGGAAACCTTAGCAATTAATTTTATGATTTCATTACAAAAACTAGTCAACGAGAAACGAAAACGAGATCGCTATTTGTGGGAGATGTTTCTTTTCTTTCTTTTTTTTTCTTTTTTTTTTTCTTTCTATGCATTAGGCGAGAAAGCGAATGTTTTTGATTTGAAGAAGGATGTTATTTATATGAATGGTGTAGGAGGAGAGAGGTAGAAGAATGTTCCATCTTTCTTTCTCTCTCTCTCACTCACTCTCTTTCGTTCTTCTTCTTCTCTCTCTCTCTCTCTCTCTCTCTCTCTCTCTCTCTCTCTCTCTCTCTCTCCCTCTCTTTCTTTCTTTTCTTTGATTCTATGTATCTCTTTTTCTATCTACATGTCTGTTTATATATCTATCTAAATATGGATAAGTTCTGTTTTGTTCAAGATCTGAAGGCGAATTGCTTCTTGATCTCCCCTCCCCCACCCCCCCTCCCCCCAAATCACCAAACAAAAACAAGGGAAGAAAATCAATCTCAAATGTACAAACGTGCAAATAATGAGACTAAAAAATAGGTACACAAACAGGCAGACAGTCTAAGAATAGATAGATAAACTTGTTGCAGACAACATGACAAGCAGTTCAACATGAACAGACAACAAATTGGGAGACAGACAGATTAAGTATACCGACATACAGATAAACTGACAGACTACAACACCGAGAGAGAAATAGGAAGAAACACGACACAAGGATACGCGAGATACCTCATTTGACAACATTGCGTATAAAAAAGACAGATGGGTAAACGAGTAGTTGGACTAAAACGCAGACTCGCACAGACACAATTAAACTCACTCACATAACCACACAAAACACACACTCACGTACACATAAACATACTTACACACACACTCTTAGACGACGGAAGACCTATACAGGGGAATAAAAGGCAAGCAAACCGAAACAATTAATGAATAAAAATATGAAACTGTGATAACACAGAAGGACAGACATCTGGAGGGAGAGAGAGAGAGAGAGAGAGAGAGAGAGAGAGAGAGAGAGAGAGAGAGAGAGAGAGAGAGAGAGAGAGAGAGAGAGAGAGAGAGGGGGGGGGGGAGAAACAAAAAAGACACCGGATAAAGTCCTCCGATCCTGGGCTCTGACAGGGCAATTTTCCCTGGCCTTCCCACCACTTGGAGCACGATTATCTTTGGGAGTTTCCTAGTTAGAGACGGTATCGATTTTCTCCCAGCCCGTCTCCGAGTGAGCGAGTCGTACAGGATGAGGTGGTATTGGGCAGCGACGTACTCACTCACGACAATAGTTCCGTTAGTGTTGCGCAGTTTGTTGGCAATTTGGTTTAGATCTAGACAAGTTTGTGTTTGAGTTTGAGTAAAGAGGCGCATATATACATCTACACAATAACGATCAGACAGTATCTGAAAAAAAAGCACCAAAAAAAAGAAAAGAAACAAGAGATTGAAAGAAAAGAAGAGGGACCCACCAGTGGCATCCTCCAAAAACCCTCTGGACGTTACTGGAGGCGACTTACTCACTCAGGGCAACAATTCGGTTAGAGTTGCGCAGTTGGTTGGGAATTCGATCTAGACAGTGCATGTACATGCACATACGTCGACACAGTAACGGTCAGATAGTGCATCAGAGGGAAAGAAAGAAAGTTAGATCTACCATGCAGTGGCATCCCCCAACCACCCGCTGGGCAGTATTGGGCGGCAACACTCTTTCACAACAACAGGTCGGCTGTTGTAGCGCAGCTGGCAGCTTGCCCAACTAGCAAAAATCGAGTGGCTCAAGGTTCAAAACCAGGTTGTGACTTATTATTTTTCAATTTATCTCGCTTTTATATTTTCTATATTCCATTCCCTAAGTACGTTTTGATGGGGGCCTGCGTTATGTGTATGTGTTATCCTATTGAAATGACTTCGTCTGGTTGTCTAAAGGATATCAAATGTGTGATTCCCCAAGCCTAGCCCCATTCAATCTCCGTCCCCCGTAAAAAAAAAATTTAATTAAATTATGTTTATAACGCTTTGAACTCACGTATATAGTTCAGTAAATAGATCAGCTTCTTTTTGTTTAAATGAGGTGTATCGTCTAGACAACTTTGTTTGGCATTACAAACAGTAGTGACACCACTGTAACAGAAACAACAAAAACAACCACAATACTTACAATAATAGTGATGATAATAATAATATAAGGATGATAATGATAATAATTATAATAATAATAATAATAATAATAATAATATAACAATAATAATATAAAAATAACAATAATAAAAAAAAACAAAACAACAATGACAACTTAAGCAACAACAACAGCAACAATAACAACAACAACAGAAATAGCAACAACAACATCAACAACAACAACAAGCACAATATATAAAGACAATAGAATTTTTTTTTTTAAGCAACAACAAAAAAAGAACTCCCCCCAAAAAACCCAAAAAAACAACAACTCCAAACAAAAAAAACCCCCAGCTAGAAATAACGTCAGCAAAAAGATACAACAGCAACACCAACAACAACACCGCTAACAACACCAACAACGACAACAACAGCAGCAGCGCCATCATCACACGTCACGCACACCTCCCACACCTCGGCCACCTGCGGACCCAGCCACCTCGC